AAAATACAAGGCAAAAAAGTTCTTACATTCTTCCAGATTTTTGCCAGTGATAGAGATCTCTGATCGACGATCCGAATGGTAAAAAGTTGTATAATACCAACACGAACAACATACTAAAAAATTAGGACGATCGGACGGCAGACAGTGTTGGATCGAATAAAATAAATTTGAACGGTTTTTGGCCTTTTTACGACGAACGAAGCCGATTCACGCAAAAACAACCCCAGATCCAAGACGGGGAGGTTGAGACAGACCTCCTGGTGAAATTTGGTAACCATCGGCCACCGACGACAGTGGCCGATGACGACGGAGCAGGCGACCGACAGAGGTAATTCACCGATAATTGGCCGGTTTTCTAGAGAGAATGGAGACCCTCTCTCTCTAAAAATAATTTAAAAACAAATGAAATGAGATTGTTATTTATAGAAAACTTTAGGGGAAACTTACACTTTAAATCCTTTAAGTTTGGCGTGTTTTAAAATAATTACCTGCAAGTACTGTTTTTGTAGTTTACCCATTTCTGATGCATGCTATATATTTTTGGTTTAATTTCTGTTTAATCCCTGTATTTTAGGCGTGTTTTTCATTCTATACATGAATCTCTGCATTTTTATTTTTTTCGTTTTTGGCACATAGGATTAATTATTTTTAATTTAATCACCGATGTCATATCTCTTGTTTTATTTATTTCTGATTTTGATACTTAAGTTTTTGATATTTTATTTTAGTCATTTAAGTTTCTATTTTTGTTATTTTAATCCTTTAAGTTAATGTTTTCAAGATCTCTTATCGAGTAAAAGGATTTTCTTTTAAACGAGTAATTTGAATCAAGTCTTTAATTTTAATTTTAATTTTCGTAATTAAGACAACCGATAAATTAAAATGGTATCGAAAGGGCAGTTCAAGGGTGTTAATCCTTCCTTGACTGTAACCGACTCCCAAACCCGTTTTAATCGAATCTTTGGTAAACGCATACCAATTTTTGTCTTAAAAAATGATTTTTCTTAAAATTGTTTTTAAAAGACGTTTAGGTATTCGACATACCTAACCCAAAGGCCGATGGCGACTCCTTTCAATTTAATTCAAATTAATCCAAGATCACCAAATAATTCTAAATTAAAGTCGTAACCATTTTTTTAAAACAATATTTAATTGTTCCACCGTAAAAATGGTTATGACATGAGTTCCCTTCTCAAATATCACCTTGTACAGACAAGTGGTAAGAGCTTTACAGCATAAATGTAGCACTAGGCTCGACATACACTATGTTGTAAACAAAGTAACCCAATAGAAAGTTGTCAAATGCATCTTAGGATATCTTATAAGAACTATATACCCTGAGCTTCTATTTCAAGTTTTATCCTTGTTACCTAAAGTAGTTGGGTACTCTGATTCTAGCTTGGGATCTAGTGTTGATGATAAAAAGTCTACATCTGGATATTATGTATTTCTGGGTGGAAATCTTATATCATAAAGCTAGAGAGTATAGTGTAGTATCATGTTCTTCAACAGAAGTGAAGTTGACAAGTCTATGCAATGTGTGAAGTTATATGGATCAAATCATTAGTAAAAGAGTTAAGCATATAACTCACCTACAAATCATGTTCATCGTACTAAAATGAAGTATGTGGAACTAGACTGGTATTTCATTTCATTTCATTTTATTTTTTGATAAATTATAATTCTAATCCTAATCCTAATCCTACATAGAGGAGAGGGGAAGAAAGAGAGTACTCTTAGTGGGTCTAAGACACATAACCTAAAAAAAATATGAGGAAACAAAGATGAGTAATTAGATCAAACGGTCAAATATACTTGCTCCACTCTTCAGCAGCCTTAGTTTCTCGTACATCTTTAAAAATTAAAATTCTTGTTCTTCACATGTTACAAGTATTGAATATCTTTCATCATTAATGGTAATTTTCAAAGTCTTACACTAAACATTAAATAAGTTAAATTATTTTGAGATTCAAAAACTAATTTAAAATCTAAACATCTTAACCCTTGCATTTTCTTTGACCAAATATTTCAAAACAAGAGGCTGTCCGAGGCTATCTTCAGCCTAATAAGGTGTGAACCCTAAATGGGCCTTAAAGCATAAGAACAACCAAACGAACAATTTTTTTGTTCATGTTCGTCCTTTACAATGGTAAAAAAAACAAACAAACGAACAACTATAAATAAACGTAAACGAACATAAAATTAGTTGAGTTTATATTTGAGAATAGTTTTTTCTTTTTAAATAATTTTAGGGTTTATATTTGAGTTTAAAATTAAATGAGTTTTAAAATATTAATGGATTTAAGGTTAAAATTTATTAGATCCTGATATTTTAAACGGGTTTGGAGATTGGGTTGAATATAAACGAATTAAGGTAAACGAACATAAACGAATAGATTACCGTACATGCACAAATGTAAATGAACCAAAGAGCTATTTGTTCATTTTCATTTATTTAATTAAACGAACGTAAAGTCTTGTTCATGTTCGTTCCTTTAATGAATAAACGAACACAAACAAACTTTTCGTCAAATGATTCACGAATAATTCGCTCAGCATTCGATTCATTTAATGAATAAAAACAAGCATCCATAGAAGCGGAAAGGACAAAGTTTGAGATTTATCTATATATTCCAGCTTAGAAATAATACGTTGTAGAGGTGGGATTTAGCCTAGCCATGTGCATTGGCTCACGCTATTGTGTGACAGTCTCAGCTAATATCATCCGACAATCATTTTATTTTAAATCAATCACTTGTGTGTATAGTTTGTTGTTACATGGTAAATTATTATAAATAATTTGTTGTTGATAATAAGATCTCAGCTTAAAACAAATTACTGACACCCCATTTTGGCCATTTCCCACCTTCTTCATTTCAACCAATGCTAAATCTAGAGGTTTTCCTTTTCAGAACTCAAAATTTTAAACATAAAACGTTAGTTGTTCTTCTGACAATGCATTATCTCAAATTTATTAAATGTAATGTCTGCTGCATACCTTAAAATATCCATCTACTTTTCAATTTTATTTGGTCAACAAATTGGAGTTGATGGAGAAGAAAAGTAGGTGTTAGAAGAAGAGAAATGGGCACACATTCATGTATCATTGCAGCCTTACAGTACTTATTTGATTAGCTCTATACAAACGCCTTTCTATATATATATATATATACACGACAAAAATTAATTTTTAACGATAGTATAAATGATTGTTTTGACCATTTTTTTAATCATCTTACCACTAACGTTCAGTTTTTAATTAAAATATCTGTATAGTAAACAAACTCTTAGTTAATAGATAGTCAATATATGTTACTGATATATTATTTTTATATATAATTAATTGTTAATGTAATATATCTCACATTACTTAAATTAATAATGTGATATCTGTTATGTCACCAAAGAGATTACATGGCATGGTCACATCATCCATAGTGATGATGTAGTATCTTTCACATGTGGTGGAGTCACATGTCGTTGAGGGTGGAACTTATCCATCTTGAAATTTGATTTTTTTTATTAGTTACTTATTATATTGAACGTCCCCTTGGAATATTATTTGTGCACGTCGCATTAAATTTTTTTATGTTGTTAACATATATGTCTGCTCTCAAAAAAATTTCTGGATTCGACACTACCACATCAGTCATAGTGATGATGTGGCATGTGTCATGTCAACAATTAAACACATGTAAAATATTACGTTAGTAGCATATGTTGGTCAACAAACCATTTCCTTCTAAAATGAAGTATTTTAATAAAAAAAATTAAAATATTGGAGGTTAAAATGTTTTAAAAATAAGAATATAAACCAAAGTGATAATTTATATAAACATTAGGGATAATTTCGTGATTATGCTTATGTATATTAGTGTTATTCTATTGTCAATAAAGTGATGGGCCAAAAGATATGCAAGGGTTGTATGTCAAACAAAATGGATTTTTCAAAAGGGCATAAAAAGAAGAAAAAGATGATTTTTCTTAGTCCAATACGGCTGTTAAGCAACACGAAAGGGAAATATATATATAAAAAAAGCTTCTTTATATGATTATACGTTATACTATAGGTTTAGGGTTTTATTATTTATTTATTTGGGAAAATCATGGGGACGACAAAGATATCATAAGAATTGTTATTGATACTTTTATGTGTGTGCCTCTCCCTCTCTCTCATGGGGGACTAAAATAGATGTTTCTTTTCACACTTTCATCACTGTCTCACATAGTTTTCTGTCTTGGGTAATTAATAACTGCATCAAAATAACCAGAAGAATTATATTCAATAAAATGCAAAGAGCCTGTTGAAATGGCTAGTCAAACTTTATGTTAAAGCTTTACTTGTATAGGGATTTTGGACAAAGTGATGAGTAAAAAGCCATAAAAGGAATATTTGGGGGAGGCGATGGCCCTTTGTTTAGGTACCAGTCAATGGTGTTGAAAACACTAATCAGATACTTAAAGTAGGAAAAGACAAAGGTTTTCTGGCCCTCAGGAAGAAGTATAGAACCCTTTGATACAACATTTTTTAGTCACATTCTCTTTTATTTCTCTTTCATTGATTATCTCCCTCTTTTGGATTCTTTTTCCTTTGGTTCTCTTTTTGTTTGCCTGGTTGATGATAATGGAGATTATGAGTTATATCCTTCATTTTTAAGAGTTTTTTTAGTAAATATCAAAAGCATTGATGTACGTATCATCCATAATGAAGTATCAGAGAAAGCCCTAGAGAAATTTTCAATGAGGTAGCTATATAAGAGACTTGATCAGCTTTCCCTTTCCCCTTCCCCCTTCCCCCTTTCCTCATTTTGAATCTGAAAGGAAAGTATTCAGGGTTCAGTCTGGGTCTCCTCTCTCCTGTATTAATTCAAGTATATATACGAAACTGTAACAGACATGAGAATCATGAATAAAGGGAAAAGGAAGAGTATGAGCAATAAATGCACCAATGAGGAGCTGAAGAAGAAACATCAAAGAAAAAGGTTTTATGGTGTCTGTGATATTCAACTTTCTTTTCATCTTCTTCACTATTACCAAAACTCACCTGCATTGATATGGCTTAGCTAGTGGGGGAGACACTTAAATTATATACACGAGTCACAAGCAAAAACTAAAGAACAAACTCAAAAAGGAAGATGAAATATTCTTGAATGGATATGAAAGGGAACTAACATGTATAAGGAGGCATAAGATTCAACCCTATATCATCTTTTTCCAATACCATACGTGCCTTGTTAGTCTCCATGGTAGCTGCACCATACTCCGGGTTCAATCTCTTCTTGGATTGTAAAGGCACGCCAAAGAGCTTTGTTCTGCAACTGTTGCTGCTTGGTTCTTCAAGAATCGTCAAGGAGCTCAGTGATGTTGCAGTTAGAGAGTTCAAAACCTGAGCCTGTTGCTTTGGACTGCTGGGATAATACCCAAGATGCTGGTTAAAAGGAGTAGAGGATGGAGGGCCACAAGGAAGTAAAGGAGAGTATGAATTGCTTGGATTGACCGGCTTAACATGGTTTTGAACGAAGTAGATAATATCAGTGTAAAGTTTTTTCATATGGGCAAGTTCAGACATCAGCAAATTGTTGCTTCTTCTTAGCCTCTCATTGTCCTCTGATAAAGCTGTGACCGAGCTGTTATAGCCTCCACCAAAGCCGCCACCGCTAACAACCGAGACCCCAGTCGGAGAAGAAAGTGGTGGCGAGTCACACCAGTTGACTTGTTCATCTGAGTCAGCCGGAGAGATGTTGACGGGGGTAGGAAATGGAAAGAAACTAGGGGCATTAACCATAGGAGAATGTGGGTGGAATTGTTGTTGTTGTTGATGATGGTGGTGGTGTTGGTGGTTTACCACTTGTGGCTGAGCAGTTTTTCTTCTATGGATCTCACAAAGCAAGTGTCTCTCTCCTTTCTTGAAGAACTCATTCGCGAACTCCCACCTATCTGGTACAATCTTCCTAAAACCCTAACGCCATTAATAAAAGTATAAACCAAAACCCAGATCAGTACACAGACATTAAAGGCAAAAAATTAAAGTAGCAGCAAGGGTAAAAAGGTTGAGTTTTGATCACATATGTGTTGAGTTGTCTGACAAAGCTGGAGAAATTGTTGTGCTTGAAGTAATTAGGAAGAAGATCACGAGCAAACTCAGGAGGCCTCCAAACAACGAAAGTGGTGTCATCTTCACCCCATGAAACTATATGGTCAGTGGAGGGATCATCAACTAGCTGATAGGTCTTAGTAAGGAAAGGTGCTGGCACTGATTTCTGAGAGTCTAGTGATAGCAATATCTCTCCACAATTATCAAGCATGAGAGCCATTGAAAGATGAAGCAATAAGGGAAAATAGAGCAGGAGATGGTGAAGAAAGAAAGTGGAGGGGGTGTGGAAATGAGTTTGCAATGTTGAAGGGGTGTTTTTATTTGGGGGTATTATAACATGTATACTTACCGGGGATATGCAATAAGAGAGAGAAAGTAAGTGTATGATGTGATATGGTTAGGGATGTATGTAAGATATGGGAGCTTAAAATTTTTAAAGTTTTTTGTTTTTTTTCCCACGTTTTTTTATTTATTTATTTTAGTCATCTGGTTGTTATTTTTATTTAATTTTTTAGGTTAGATTTGACATAATCTTGACTAATCAAGATCCAACTTATTTATTATTATGATTTTTTGTTTGGACTCTTGAATTGTATTTGAATACGCGGTTTGCGTTCAAAGATAGTTGTCTCACGACGCTTGACTCTAATTTATGATTGTCGGTGAATTTTCAATAGTTTCATTTCTGTTGTGATTCGTTTGTCAATGTAGTCAGATCTATTGCATCGATCTTTTGTTTGAGTTTTTACCCATTTCCGTGTATAGTCCTTGTATGATCTCAATTGGCTAGTTTCGCTTATAAGAAAATATCCTAATTATATGTTTAGTTTATACTTATACTTGTAAGTCATTCATTGTAATTTTAGATATTTTCTCTTTTTTTAATAAGACTAGCAGTTTTTATTTGCGTAAAAAATGTGTAAAATTAAAATATAAAAGAATTTAAAACTTCCGAAGAGTATGACCGCACCTAACATCCCTTGATCCAGTCATAACCACTGATGTTTAAAAATGTTAAAAATAATACAATAACCTACATGTTTAGTATCTTAATTATCATTTTTGTTCCATTTTGGTCACTCAACTATTTTTTCAAAATCATACTTAACATTTAGTTTTGGTTTCATTTTAGTAATCCACTGTTAAAAATTAATGGTAACACTAATGTGTCATCATAAGGTAATGTCACATCACCATAGAAAAATATTATGTCAACAGTTTTGTTAATTTTTTAACGATAGGTGACTAAAATAAACTAAATATTAAATATAATTTAAAAAATAATTGAATAATCAAATCATAATAAAAAATTATAATTGGTATACGTTTTAGAAAAACAAGAACGATGAGAAAGTATTTAAAGAAGACACTCAACTGATTAATGATTATATACATTTTGAAATTATTTTCCAAGATTCAAAATTTGTATATTATCATGAACTAAATTATTTCAATAGTCAAAAAAATCGTTAATGTTTATAAATATTATAGATTCGAGCACTAATAATTACAAAAATAATTAAGTATTTATTATCAAATGATTGGAAGTAATTAAAATAGATATTAGTTTATAATCCCTTAAACTTAATCAAAATAGTTTGTATATCCAGTTTCTCCATTTAATATTATTAGTAATAAATAAAGGATAAGGGTTGGTAATTTAAGGGCATTAATTAGAAGGAAGAATATACTGCACAAATATTCATCTTAGTAAATTAAAAGAGCACAATTATTCTGTGCAAAGTAAATTCTTGGCCAGCAAAGGACAAAAGTTATTACTCTCTCGTATGTGTCTTTTGACTGTTAGCTATTTATTATTATCATCATATAGTTTATGAGTTACGACGTACTTCCCAATGCAATTTCAAAATTAACCAAATTAAAACAATTGTAACTGCAGGTAAATACAAAGTTTTTGCATGTGACCCTGCTAACGTGTTTTTCACATTTCTGCCAAAACAACCACCCAAACCACAAATTCGTATATCTATCTATGTTTTCCAAACAAAAAAAAAATCGTATGAATTATAAAAAATAAACCCAACCCACATTATTAAATCAGTCAAAAATACTTAGAAATGTGATATACATGCATTAAATATATCATGTGATGTTGGTTAAACTATTCGAAACCTAATAGTTTAGGGTAGATATAAATAGAAATTGATTAAAGAGGTAAGTAACTTGATATCACTTAAATAAGGTTTTCAGTTCGATCTTTATTTATGTAAAAGATTTATGCTAGGAAATTCATCTACTAAAGTCAAGTATACGACGCAGGTTATTCAAATTATTTATAATTGAAACCTTATAATTGAGAGGAAAAAATAGTTTAGGGTTAGGAGCAAAACAATCGCCCCACTACGAGAGTTAACTTTATGTATTTTAACATGACGTGAATTTTTTTCGAATTTTGACTTTGTTTTCTTTCATCTACATTTATATTATTATTAGGTTTTTAGTTGGAATGATATATCAGTTAATTGAATAAAAAATTATTATTTGTAAATAATAGCATTATTAATATTTTTTATTGTTTTATATTATTATATAATTTTAAATAAATAATTAAAAATATTTATTAAAAGAGCCACTACAACAAAACTGTACATTTGTGACTTTTTTTTACTATAGCAGCGTTTTTAAGCGCCTCAAAAAACACTTGCGGCAATATGACAAACGCCGCAAAAAGCGCTGGGGAAAATAGCGTCGCTAAAGTTCGCGGCATTTGATAACAAAAAACGCCGCAATAGGTAACGAGATATAGCGACGTTTGTCCAACAAACACCGCAATAGGTGTTGAGATTGAGATAAACACCGCAATAGGTGTCGAGATTTAGCGGCGTTTTTCCCACAAATGCCGCAATAGGTGTTGAGATTTAGCGGCGTTTTTCCTACAAACGCCGTAAAATGCGTACGTATATAACGGCGTTTTTATAAACGCCTCAAAAGGTTTAGATATTTCGCGGCGTTTTTCGAATACAAATACCGCAAAAAAGTATGGTATATAGCGGCATTTTTTGTTACAAACGCCGGTATTGTTTTTGATATTTAGCGGCGTTTTTTACAAACGCGCTAAAGAACACAAAATTTAAACAATTTAAATATTTTCTTCGATTACCCCAAATCTATTTTTTTTCAATTTGTTCCATTATCCAACAAACATGACATCAATAACATCAAACTCTATATCTATAATAAGCAACATCAAATCCAATATAATAAATAAAAGTTTTCATTAACGTAATATCAATTCAGTTAAACACGGTTCAATAACATTAACAGACTATTGATAACATAAATGAGACTATGATGATGGATTATGATGTTGCGTTTTCTGTAACATCTGCATCATATCATCGAGTCATTTTTCAAATTCTTGATGTTTCTGCTGATATGCTGCTTCTCTCTATGATGCAGTTGCTTCTCTCTATGTTGCGGCTGCTTCTCTCTGTGCTTCCCTGCTGCTCTTTCTGCTTCCCTTGCTTCATTTTGGCTTTCACTTTAGCCATTTGTTGATCCATTTCAGCCAATTTTTGTTTTAAACGACTAACTTCTAATTGGGTAGACTGAGACTGTGATGACATGTACTGAGATGAACTGGATCCAAATATTTGGTGGGAGTAACAAATGATCCTTGACAGCGCACCCGACCATATCTTTCAGGACCCAAAATGTCATTAATAGCTTGGTTTTCAATGTCATCCTCATTAACAAGACCTTGACTCGAAGTCATAGCTTGATACTCCACCCTTTTCTCTCTCAATTTTCCTAATAATAAAGTAAATAATTAATTCAAATAAATATATCATGCTACAGATATAAATAAAACATAATTCAAAAACTGTATCCAATAAACGTACCATAATTTCTGCAGCTTTAGCAGTCATAGGAGTGTCATCCTTTTTTGTATGTGTCATATCGAAGAGTTGGATTCGACCAACTTTAGAACCAGATGTATTTTCCTACAATGTACCACTAATATAAAGTTAGTATGTACATGGAATACAAATAACTATGTGAATAATCTATAATACCTCCCCATTAGCTATACAAGCAAAGCTCTTCAATCCAGCCATGTGCGTAAACTTTTGTTATTGCCTGCTAGCAACACCAACATGCTCTTGATCCTACAATTTCAAATAACCACTTTTAATGATGATTTATAATTCGTTAAAATTATTTTTAAAAATATATCATATGTCCTTTTTATGAACTCCAAAATCTTACTATATTTTCCCATTGGTACCTGAGCATCCAGGTGAGACAGTTTGTATCTTCTCTTCAAGGCTGAGATCATTCTTGAAGTATTTCTTTTTTAATGAGCTCTTGTGGTCTCTCCATCTCTTCCCTAACTATTGCTTCACATAATCGTCAGAGACCTCTAAAGAAAATTTCTCCTATACAGCAAATAAGTGTTCAACGTAAGTATAAATTAGTATTGAATTGTTATAGAGTATCTATTATAATGACATTATTACCTTAACAAAATCCAACGCCTGATTTTTGTTACTATAGGCATTTCGCACCATGACTCGTAATTGATCGAAAAGATTAGCATTACGTCCAACTATGCCTAAGTAACCAACTAGAAGACGTGTTTCTGGGCCAATAGGTTGACCGACATCATTTCTTGAAACTTTGACATGGTGCCCAGGAGGAAGTTGGTATAATTCCTTCAATATTGTATGTCTCTACTCTTGCGTGTTCCAGCATTTTCAACCATATAAGAAATTATTAAATGTAAGTTTTGAAAATGAACAAACTATTAAATAAAGTTTCGAAGATTACCTTGAATTTCTACAGCTTCTTCAACAGTTATAGGAACTTCGGAAGAGTCAGCTGCATTCGATTCCTCATTATTTGTTTGTTCATGCTCTTCAGAAGCTCGAACAACCTGCAAATCACTTAATTTTCTCCTCGGCATGATATCTGTAATAAACAAACATTTGTAATAAGAAAATGATTTAATTAATGAATATATTGAAAGACAAAATGTTAAAAGTTATAACATTATAAACAAATAAATTAAGATATAAAATCTTACGACATTCTTATGTAATGTCAGTTGTCATAAATATCTTCATCAACGTCATCCCGAACCCATTGAAATTGTGTTGTATTAGTGATAGTTTCATTTAAGTTTTGTGCTACTAGAGGTAAACATTATGATCTTGTTTCAATGTGATCTCTACTTCCATCCCGATGTCTATCAAATCTCTGGGAGTATTACAGAGCACAACATACAAACCATCATCCATTGGATCGTGACAGTAAAATACTTATTTCACT